TGTAGGGAAGTAGTGACCAATCATCAAATCGACAGCATAGGTTCACAACTCAAACGAAAAATCGTTATGCTACAAACAATGGAACCTCATTGGCTTTGGAATCTGATGCTATTCAAAGTAAGATGGTATCTAAACATTCAAACTTACAAGTAAAGGACAAGGTAACTACATCTTAGATTTATTATTATTTTTAAATAATGAACATATGTAGAAAGATTGATCATTAGGTGGTTTGCATTTATATTACTTTCCTATTTTGATCATTTATTTTGTCTAATTGTATATTTGTTTTTCATAGAGTCCTAACTCCTAAGAAGCATGATGTGCACTATTTTAAAAATAAGGAAAATAAGTTTATGTTTACTTTTCTATGTTGTATGTACTGGTCATTTTGATTTAAGCATTTTGATAGGATTTATATTTTTCATTTAGTGATGAGTGAATTTGACAACAGATTATGAATGCCTTCTAGGAGCTAGCAGATATGGTAGAAGGAAAAAGTAGCCCCACAGCAGCAGCACAACATACTCATGAGATACGAAAAATGAACTTGGAACTAGAGCAAGAACGCAAAAAATTGGCAAATATTCAGCTAAAATTTCAGGGTCATTATTCTACATTTAGAATATCTATATTGTATTATCATTTTGCATGTTTAAATAGAAACTTCTAACAATCTGGACCTTTCTTTGATGTCAGAGGAAGAGAAATTGAACAAGTCTTTCCAGGAGGAGCTTAAATTGTTAAAGTTGGAAAGAGACAAAGTGAGTTTATATAAGCATGTAGATATAAATTTGATTAAATATTATTTTATTTCTATAAGATTTTGGCAAAAATGTTTTTTGCACCATAATAGTTGAGAGACAATGAATAGATATTTTAAAAAAATAAAATAAGATACTAACCATGCATGAACTATAACTTTTAACCACCATTTCATAGTGTTAGATTGTTTTATGGGTTGCCTTTGTTAGTTTTTTTTAACTTCAAACTGAAATAGGTTGAAATTTATTTCCCAGAAGGTGTTTCTATAATTTTCTTGTCAAGTGATATGATGTTAGTTTTCTATTTATATTCAGATTATTTAGCATTTGCCATTTTCTATGTATTATATATTTTTTAAAATATAGCCACCATAGGCCACAATGCCATCTGTCTTATATGTATGGTGAATTTTGGCTCACTGCCACATCCACAATTGATAACACTACTTTGATCCTGAATGGAAATTGGTATTAAATCAAGAGAAAAGTGTGGAAGAAAATCAAATAATGTTTTGATAAGATGCAAAAGAAGATATATGTTTGGGAATAAACACATTACCTAAATTCATGAGAACTATAGGATTAGAAATTAAGAGAGAACATGAGTTGGTTTTTTCCAGTGATTTCAATTCTCCATTTCACTATTTCTCTAGATAATATTTTTGAAGCTGAAGGGATAACTTGAACACTTTCTTGTTTACCTTTCTAGCTTCTATTGCATCATTGGGTGGTATATTATGTTTTCTCAATGAGTCTGGATGCTAGTTTTGTTGTACTATGTATGTGATATGCTGAGCTATTATAGTTTTTTGGTTTTCTAACCAATACATATATTGTGTTATTGCTTGCAAGACAACAAATGAGGTGAGCAAATTACATGATGAATTAAATGAGAAAATATCAGAAATACGACGTCTGCAATTGGAGTTGACTAGACGGGAAGGTGAAGAAGCAGGTGGTTCTGTGGATAGCCTCCAAAAGCAAATTGAAATTTTAGAGAAGGAAAACACTACTCTTAAGGTTAGTAAATTTGTGCATTAATTTTTTTTTTCTTTCATTGTAATACAAAAATATTCTACTGTCTTATCAATCAAAACTTGATAATGACTTTTTATTGATATTGTGCTCCAGACTGCACTCTAATATATTCAATTTCAATCTTATTGTTATTAGTTGGAAAAGGATGAACTTGAGGCTGCACTCAAATTAAGTAGGGTGTCTGGTATAATGTCACCTGATCCTTCTCAGATTCAGAACAAGGTTCCAAACAGTAACCGTGATGTGAGCCAAAACTTAATATCAATATTTACTTTACAGGTTATGCCTTAAGAAAATCATGTCAGTAATTGCTGTCTTCTTTTCTTCTCTTTTCTGGGGATTTGGAAATTGGCTTTTTGCTAGCAGTTATCAGATCCTCCCAAAGGATTTCCAGGGAAAGAAGACTTGGAAAGATCCTTACATAAGCTAAGTAAAGAATTGAAAGAAACACAAAAGGAGAAGGACAAAGCAATACAACAATTGACCCGTCTTAAACAGCATTTGTTAGAAAAGGTTTCATTTTTCACTTTATTTATTTTGAAGTAGAATCAATGATGATTGGAGTATGATTTTAGAGGGACAATGTACCAATTATCATAATCTTTTTGTCTGTTCATCTCAAAATATATTTTTTCACTTATATTTTGTCCCCTCAATCCTCTACGAAGTGTGAATGAACTTCATTTGTATCCATCCCATATGAATTTAGCATATCAATCTTTCTGCGGTATGCTCAAAGATGTTCATCATGCTGTTTTTTGTGTAGGAATCTGAAGAGTCTGAAAAAATGGACGAGGATAGCAAAATCATTGAAGAACTACGTGACAGCAATAATTATTTACGGGCTCAAATATCACATCTGGAGAGAAATCTGAAACAGGCAACTGCAAGTCAGGAGAAACAGAGGATGGAAAATGACAATGAAATTCTTAAGTTTAGGGAAATAGTTGATGACCTGAACAAGAAACTTACAAACTGTATGAGCACAATAAATGCTAAGAATACTGAACTGTTAAATCTACAGACAGCTCTTGGACAATATTATGCTGAAATTGAAGCTAAGGTTGTTTTTTTATTTTTTATTACAAGCTAACTCGCATTGATTTGAGTTGTTATCATTCTCTCACTATTTTTTTCATCAACATCTTTGTATGTGCCTGTCTGTCTATTGCTGCATGGAGTAAACTTATATCACTATAAATTTGTTTTCTAAAGGAACATTTAGAAGGAGATTTGGCTCGTGCAAAGGAAGAAACATCTAAGCTTTCTCAACTGTTGAAAGTATGAATTTCTCTCTCTTACTGTTTCTATATATAATGTTTAGACAGCCCATACTTTATTTAAGACTTTAACCGAACAGCATTGGACTTTATCATGATGATTGTAATAACAAAAGAATATGATGATCTCTTCTAACCGTGAGTTTTGGTCTGTATTCTTTTGATTCAATCATTTTATTTGGTGGAAAACCTGGTAGAGTAGGAAAATGCGGTACCATAGCATATGAATTTCCCTTGGAAGACTTGATCGGAAAGAAGTGTATTTCTTGTTATACAATTTGGTCCTTGTAGACAATAGAGAATTTTATACCTGAGAGGTAAGATAATTTGGAAGCATTTTAGTTTGGTTTAGGCTAATCTCAAAAAGATGATAGAAGGAAATAGGTAATTATAGAGAGTAGTGAATGCTAATGGTTATCAGAAGACAGGGAGGTGGGAGCTTATGCCAAGGGAAAGCTCTAACCCAGATGTCCTGCCAGTGAGTGTGGAGTGATCTTCTATATCATCCACAAAGGGAATTCTTCGGTTGGTTAAAGGGATCTCTCCCTAGATCATTGAATAGATTATCAATACTTTCCTTTATTGTAAACTACCTAATTCAATGTATGGGTCAGTTGAGCTAGGGTAGTTCCATTTCACCTGTGTCACATAAGGCTGAATATTTATGATAAGTGGATAATCCATCCAGTTAAGGTGGGTATGTGGGAATAATTAATTCAATATGATACAACTCAATAGGACTGTGATTTGGATTATTCAATTGGGGCCTTGTTTCAATGTGTTCATTTCACTTTCTATTGTGTCTATTTGATTTTTTATTTTATTATTTACTTTTTCGTATTCCCTAAAGCTTAATGCATCCTATGTTACTCCCCATTATTTCTCGAGACTTTGCTGCAGAATATTGATATATTATGTTTTCTGACTCATAAAAGTATAAGTACATTTTAGTATTTCCAATTAAGTAATATGTATATTAAATGATTGTCAGGATGCAAATTTCCGAGTAGATGCATTGATCAGTGAAAAAGAGGAAATTTTAGCCAAGCTTTCTCAATCTGAGAAGGTACAATCAGAATGTAGAAGTAGAGTAAGCAAGCTCGAAGAAGACAATTCAAGACTGAGGCGAGCTCTTGAACAGAGTATGACACGGCTAAATAGAATGTCAGTGGATTCTGATTTTCTTGTTGACAGGTTGGCATGTTTTCATCAAAGTAATTTTTTCATGCAATATCAACTTGGCCATGTGACTTGGGGGCTTCTAATATTTCTAGCTGATTGGGTTTGAATGAAGATGAAATCCTTGAAGGGACTATTGTCTATACTATTTTTGTATATATCATTAGTTTCCTGAAGTTTATTATTGGAATTGGAATCATAATAAGTATGAATCTGGGTTAAATTTAGACTTGAAAATGTTTTTTTTTGTCATTGTGTTGTTTCTGCTTGAGAATAAATTACACTTATCTTATTTGTATTTCTGACAGGCGCATTGTGATAAAATTACTTGTAACTTATTTCCAGAGGAACCACAGCAAAGAGGTATGGAAGTCTGATGATTTGGTTGTTTAAGATACATCATGAAGGACTAATCCTTCCTTGTATGTAAGCATGAAACAGTCATAATCTTGTGTTTGTGTGTTCTCATTAGGTAGTGGGGGCAGGCTTCATGACTAAGTCTTTATTTTGTTTGCTGCGTTAATTTATCATTGCTAGATTTTATCCGTGTAAAATTGTGTTATCTACTTGCATTTGTTTACTTTCTGCAGTATGTTAAATTAAGCAGTGTTCTTTTATCAGTTGTGTGATGTCTTGTTCAAATTGATCTTGCTAATGAGAAGTGTGATATTGAGGACAGGTTTTGGATCTAATGGTTCGCATGCTGGGGTTCTCTAATGAGGACAAACAAAGAATAGGTGTTGCTCAACAAGGTCCAGGAAAAGGTGTTGTTCGTGGTGTTCTTGGGTTGCCTGGCCGCCTAGTTGGAGGCATCTTGGGAGGAAGTGGTTCAACTGAATCAGCTGTAAATATGGGAGCAGATAACCAGGTGATTTCTTCTAACCATGTGTTCATTTATCGTGGGGTTTACATGGAAAGCAAAGTGCAGAAAAGAATATAAGAACCCTGGGAGAACTACACTATGCCCAAGGCTTTAACCCTACACTAGAATCCCATACTTCAAATTGGATCCTAACAGAATATTGTGGGTGTGACTTTTCTTCCTTTTTTTTTCCTTTTGGGGCTGCTAGCAGCCAGGAAGAAAAGAAGAGATAAGATTGAAAATGGTGTTAAAAGATTTATACCAACTGGAATCATGTCTTTCTTTATCTCTGTTGTGAAATGTGAACACAATAATTTGTTTCATTTTGAGGGCACAAGTGTCAACTACATGCCTAAACCAATATGGGTTTCTTAACATGCAACATGTTCCAAGTTATGCTACACAGCCGATACTATATATATGTATGTCGTTCGTTGGGTCCAACAACATTATACCCAAATAATCTTTTATAAAGGCTGCTCTGCATTCTAGATTTTGTCACATTTATAAATGCTGCATTCTATATGTATGTCGTTTCCTATCATGAATTTGAATTTGTACATTTCCCCTTCCAGTCCTTTGCAGATCTGTGGGTTGATTTTCTTCTCAAGGAAACCGAAGAAAGAGAGAAGAGGGAGTCAGGAGGAACTACAGATATATCTATGGACGATTCACATGATAGAAGTTTCAATACTAGTTCTTCTCCACAACAATCCAATCGGAGGTTTAGCACTGGAACAACATCAATCATCTCACCCACTAATCAAAACATCACTTCTACCCCTAGTGGATATTTTCAGCATTCCGAACATATTGGTTCCGAGTTCTCAACAGTTCCCCTTACATCATCAGATAGTAAAACTCCTAGTTCAAAACTTCCTAGATACTAAATATACATTATTTGTGTAATTAATCAAAAGGTATAGATGATTGACTGATTGTAGACATGTAATCTTGTTCAATTAATTCTTTCATTTCATTGCCATCGTCACCCTGTGTGGGATATCTTGCATAATTTGAAACACTGGAACTGTGGAAAATTATCCTAATGTATATGTCATGTAGTTTCACATACTTGCCTCTTTAATATAGTATATTCTCGCATGCACCATTTTTCCCTAGCCTATGTGCTACTCCTTTATTCATTATCTTTCTTTTTTCACTTCAATTTCTCCCCATTCTATCTCGAGACGGTTTTTGTTCTTGTAGCAACAACTACTTTTCCAGCCATTGAGTGTTGATAATGACTCTAGGCAGTACTTCATACTGAATATCCGAAGATGAAAAGCTGAACCCTTTGCTATAAATGACCGACTATTATGGTACCCAAGCCAAGGATGAAAAGCTTGATATGAACTCAGTAACAACTAAAAGCATTGATGCGACGTTTCAAATGCTGTGGTTGGCCAGCGTTGACACCCTTATCAACATTGATGCGACGATGGCAGTTATCCATTCAACTGGGCCTAAAACTGGAAAGATTCGATTATTGATTGAATGGTCCGCAAAAATGAAAAGATCCAGTTATTACTTATCATTTGGCCGCCGTGTCAAATCCAAGGACAAAAACTTCAAAGTTACACGACCACCATATTGTGCTTCATTGGACCATTTTCTCTCAATTTCAATGTGGTTTGGACCAACAGAGGGGAAGAACCAGAGGAATTGACACTGAAGCCTTGATGGTCAGATTCGTTGTATTTCATTGTCATAAAAAATAAAATCATGGTATTTTGACTTTGCAGCATTTTGCGTTGACTTTTTAATTTTTTTTTTTTTTCAGTTTCTAATATTGATTGGCTCTGTAAATTCAAAATCATTTACAGTTTTTGAACAAGACAGTATGAAGAGAAAAAAAAAATTAGGATGAAAATGACACAAATAAAGTGGGACTGGCACTTGGAGTGAAAGATAAGTGTTCGTTTAATTGAACTGATTCTGATAAAGTATAATGTATGCATTGACCCACTAAAGTGATTTTACTTGCATAAAAATTAAACTCATAATTTCGATTGTAGATTTATATTAAAATGTATTTTCTTAATTCGAAAACATGAAAAATAGTTTTTAAACGTCAAAATAAAGTGAACTTTGCCAAAAAAGAATTCACTCCTGTCAATTGTGATATGCCCCATGTTGCCGTCATATGTTTGTTGTCCATCGCTAACAGAATTCTTCCACCAAACTTTTACATTATATTATATTATTAGAGTATCATCTGACATAACCTTTTCATAGTTTGGTGTGCTGTTTCTTCGCGTCAATTGGAACTCTTACTTTTTGCAGCCGGTCATTGAGTTTTCTTCGTATGATTGATGGAATTATTTTCTTTTAATGTATTTATTTTTCTCCTCTGCCAAAATAATTTACATGAGCGTTGAAAAACATGAACCGATTAACGTTTTATAAAAAAAAAAATCAAACCATCCACGCATAAAAGAAAACTGATTAAAAATACACTAATAGTAATATGGAGTAAGATCCACCCAAATCTATATCTATTATTGTTAAGAGGGTTGATCACCGTTTTGATTTTCATTTTTACATTAATTTTTTTAATCTTTTTTTTTTTTTTATCAAAAAATTTAGACTACTTATCATTTTTAAGTATTGAAATTTTACTAACTACATAATAGTTTCTTTTATTTTTTTTTAAATTTTATCCTTCAATCATTATATAAAGGAGATATTCTTATTAATAATTGTTTTGGTTTCCATTTTCATATGTATTTTTTTTTTCCTTTTCATTTTATCAAAAAATCTAAACTACTTATCATTTAAGTATTGAAATTTCACTAACTATATAGTGATTTCTTTTAATTAATATTTTTTATAGTTTACAATGAATAAGTATGAAATATCAGTTTTTTTCAGAGGGTACTTTTTTTTTAAAATAAAATATATAGAAGTACAAAATATCTCAACTTTACTAGTTTAGTATAAAGCTAATCCCGCTACTTTTCTTATAAAATATTTTTTACTTCAAAATTTTTTATAATCATATAAAAAGGTTCCTACAAATTAATTTATAATTTATAAAACATCATTTAATACTAAATCCAGATTTTGCTTCCTTAATTGCAGATAATCTATAATAACTTACTATCCAACACATAATGTTAAAGTCATAATTTTAATATCTTATCAATTTCACTGTAAGAATGCAAAGTATTTTAAATATTGGTCTAAGTAGTTGTTCTTACCCTCAAGGAGACATTTGTTTCAAGTAATACTTCTCTATTCTCGATAATATGATGGTATTTTCATGCTTTTTACAAGATAATAAGAAAATGTTTTCAAGTATGTTTTATTTGCATAAATGTAAAGTCTACACATTTTACGAGCTTTTTATTTTCATAGTGAAAAAAGGACATCTTATATTCCTATAAAAATGAAAGTTACTTTTTCAAATAATTACCAACTTTTTCTTCACCAATATTCATTTTTCTAGTTTTTAATTTAACAAAAAACATTTTTTTTCCAAAATTAATAAATCCAAACAAACATATTCATGAGAATAACATTTTTGGGTACAATATCCGTGGAAATGAAATTCTCAGAAATACATTTATTATTACCTCAAAATAAATGCACCCAAAGTACTAGTCTTGATAACTACAAAGTTCCTACCTTAATTTTCTATAATCTAATAATCTATAATAATTTATTACTTAACACCAAGAATCGCAATGAACTAAATCAACTAAAAAAATAACTCAATTTAATTTGATAATTAATTTATTAAACTTGAGAAAAGATTAAATTTGATAAATAAATGAACTAAACTTGAATTGCATATAATTCAACTAGTTTAATTCATGCTTCAGTATGATTTGTAAATACATAATTTATATAATTAATTTCTTATTTAATTTTTACTTCTTAAAATTTGAAAGAAAATTCAAAGCTTATAATAAGTTTATAATGATAAAAATGGACAAATTGGAATTTTATAGTTATAGAGTAAATTTTTTATTATCTTATATCTTAATTATAATTATACTTCTTTAAACTCATCCTTGTAACCTTGCAAAACAAATAAATAAATTATGTTGTCTTTAAAAAAAAAATCATTTTATCTAAAATATATTATTAAATTAAAATTTTGAAACATATAAAAATTTAAAAAATTTAACTCTTGATTCATGTTATTTGGATTAATAAACTAATAAACAAATTTGAACAAAATCGAATTAAAATTAAAAAACAAAAACTCATCAAGCTCCAGTCGAACTGCAAGTATCGGGCTAAGTCGAGCTAGGTCAATTCCAGCCCTACTTAGCACATAAAGTAACTCAACACCAAAAGATAGGCATATCGCTTGCTACCTAAAAATAAAAGGCAGCATGGAAATATTTTATCTTACAGTAACGATCATCGTTTGAACTCGTACAAACCTTCAAAAAACCAGTAAAATCCATATACTTGCATAGTCAGACACTACAATTTGAAGATAAACAAAAACCATTGCCATTGACATCATACCAGCCTAACACCAACCCAAACATAGCAAAAAAATTGACATTTGATAAAAGAAACTGATCCCTGACAACTTCCATGAACAAACAAGTGGAGCTCCTTCTCTTTCTGAGATTACAAAGACTATCTCATTAAGCTAACTTCTTGCCTTTCAATGGACCCGCTGGGATCTTACTCAAGACCTTAGCATCAAACACAACATACTGCTTTTTAATCTCAAAAACTGCCTTCTCTGCAAGTGGGTCTATCTTATCCTCGTACTTCTCATATAGCACAGGAACCGTGTGCAACAAGATAAAAGCTGCCCATGAAATGGAGAATAAGTAAATGAATTGAATTCATACCAATTTTTTTTTTTAAAATGTTATTAAAAGGACAAGAAATTATTCTTACTTATGTAGAACAATGTCAAGAAATTGCACCAGTTCCCCAAAATTGACAGGATCCATACGCCAGCAATAACCTTGCGTCCACAACGGAATTCTCAATATAATAAATAACATGATAAGAATAGTTACAAGTTCTCAACCAAAGTTAAGCAAAGCAGCAAATTAGGCACTCATTAAAGCAGAGCAGCTTGCAAGAATGAAAGAAGAGGTACCATATTAATAATTTTTAAATAGGTAGCCCAAAAACATTATAGAAATTACTCATGAAAAACATTTATTAAATATCATTCAACGATGACAAGTTATGAAGTTACACACCACTAGGAATTTCTTCAAATCTCTTCCAGAACCAATATTATGCAAAACAGCAAATCCCCGGTTGATTTCAGCAAGCAACGCGGATGCAACTTGCAGGAATGGCTCCTGAGGAAGGTGAACTTCTGGAATGCGAGGTGGAGATCTGCAATATAATTCAACATTCCACACAAATGATCAGAGGAAAACTCTAAAGCACACAACAACGCCCCAATGTTCAACAGACCATGAAATTCTAGAGGCTCACTTGTGAATAAAAGTATGCGCATTGGACCACAAGAACAGAACAGCGAGCAACAGTATCAGAATGTGAGACACCAGAGTAAGAAGGTGATATTCAAGCAACTCAAATAGAACCCAAACAGCAGTAGCTCCGCCAAGTACGCCAGCAGATATTTTCTTGTTCCTCCACAATAACACGTCAGCAGCTGCAAAAGAAGATTACCAAAAAATAACCATAAGATTATCATATCATAAACAAATTGCAACTGGTTTTACTTTTACTCCATATATATAATAACCACACAATCCCATACAAATCTTTCATCGACATCTCATCAAACAACTAATCAATTATTCATCAACATCCCAATTTTCACCATTGCAGCCCTAGTCAAGTTCATATTACAAGATTTTCATTATCATTCAAAACCATATCCATATCAATTAAACTCGACTCATCTAGAATAAACAAGATGGGTCAAGACGTGGCAAGACCAAATTTTTTTTCTTCTTTTTTCTTTCCTATTATTCTTTTATTTCCAATAGTTATATCCACAACACTCCCACATTGAATAAGTTCACAAAACCCAAAACGCAATAAAACGACAACAAAAAGAGCGAAATAAAAGAGCGTGTTACGTTTTCCGGCGCCGAAAACGGAATGAACGGGTCTCTCCCTTCCGAAAAGGCGAAAGACCTTATCCTTAACAGAGGAAGTAACGGTTTTTTCGGAATCGGAATCGGAATCGGAAGAAGAAGAAGAAGATGATGAATCATGGCCGTGAAGCTTCTCGCTAATCTTATCGAGCAGCGATTCGGCGGGGGCGCCGGTGGTGACGGTGCTCTCCGGTTCCTCCGCCATTGATTGAGATCAGAAAAACCCTAACCCTAACCCTAACCCTAATGCTTCGTTTCGGAAACGGAATGAAGCTCTCGCTTTTCTTTTTCTTTGGTTTGTTGCAGTGTGTGAGAGAGTGGGGTTCGGAGTGTGAATCCCAGTCTGCATTTTATCTCTGTCGTAAAAGTAACCAGCTTCGGGTGTCCCAACCTCAGCTTCGGCCACATTCCAAATTCAATTAAAATATTCACGCCGTTTCAATTTGGATGACTTTAGTTAGAGTATTTTCTTTCTTGCTTTTAACTTTTAATAACTCCCACCCCAAATTTTAGCACCGTTTAAATTTTAAATTTCTTTTTTTTTATGAAACTAGTATTTTATTTGTTGTTTGCGTTGTTAAATGACGTTACTGAAACTGATTTTGTTAATGTTATATTTTTATAACTATGAAAGTGAATATTATCGAATTATAGTAATATGAAGCGATTGGAAAAATTAATCTCATATGAAGGTAGATACTCCGTTGAAATTTGAAATCCCTAATTTGAATGTGGAGGCTTTCCGTTTCCGGTTGACGGCATTTGTTTGGTCGAGCAATGATAGGGTGACGCTGCAGTCATGGAAAGTCAGTGACCGACAGGTAACGAGGTGGGGACGCCTGCTTCGTATCAGTCATTTGTTTAGTACGTACGCTGATGGGCTACGTTCGGTGCAGAGTGTAGAGACCACACTGTACACATTTTTTTTACTTATTTTTATTCATCTTTCTTATCTTATCTATTTTATTTCTTTTGTTTTTACTAAAACAGAATCTCAAGATTCCAAAGTCATGATCACATGAAAGCAACAATTTTGCTTGGTAAAATGAACATTGGAAAATTGAACATATTTAAGCTTATTGTGTATCTAAACACAATCTATGTATCTCATTTGTACAATACATAATATACACACAAATATCATCCGTCAAGAAATCGAGTGGTGTGATGTGAATCAATTACGAGTATTAGTCTTTTTCTTCTTCTTTTTTGGTTAGAAACAATTATTAGGCGTTAAAAGCCTCACACTAGCATAGACAAGACACATTTCTAACATTTCTTTTTGGTACATCGAGAGAAAACAAAGGGAAAATCAAAAGGCAAGAATATAAGAAATTAATTTATAGTTTTATATTCCGGTACAGAGAACGTCTAGAGATTGTTTTAGACAATGAATCAAAATCAGAACATTCAAGAGTATTATTTTTCATCCTTGCTTTAGGTTAAACTTTTTTATAATTAATTTTTCATGGATTTATATGTCTCAAAAGTTTCGAGATTTGTTAAAAAAGTATTATATCATGACGCATTATCTTAAATATTAAAGATAAGATTTGATCCAATATTTTTTTTTAAATCAGATTAATTCCAATCTCCTTCGATCTGATTGATATCAAGTTGTACACTATATCAGATAGACCATATCAAAATTTATTTAGGATGCTATGTTTGTCCACAAACCTCAAACTTAAGAGGTGTAGAGATTGTTTTCGAACATTGTTCAAATGAACAAGATTATAAATTCATATGGGAGGATACATTATCGAATTCACCTCTCAAAAACAAGGTCATATGGAAATTTATCAAGATGTTACACTTGTATAAGATAATCTCACAGAGTCAGCACAACGATAGAAAGCTAAACATAGGCACCTCACTCAAGACCAAGAGACTTGCATCTTGTAATGCTCCATTGACACATTTCTAACGGATTCAATTTTTTTAGAAATTAGATAAGTTCCACTTGACTTGATTATATGAAAATAAATCACTTTCTAAAATCGGTTCAACTAATAAATTCATTTTTTTTATAAAATAAATTAATTTGATTAGATTTGATTTAATTTTTTTAAAGTAGATAATTAAATTGAATTAAATCGATTTAGCTAAAAAATTAATTTATTTAAAAAAATAAACTTATCTACCTCTAAAAAAATAGTTCGGTTAGCTAAATTGTTATTTTTAAAAAAAATCAATTTAGGTTAGTTTGAATTTTTGAAAAATTCTATCCATGAACAATCATGGGAGAGTGTAGGATAAGATGAATAGCGTAATAGGAAAGGGAAAAAAATAATAATAAGAACCCCCTCTTACAAAATAATTTAATAGAAATTACTTGGTAAATTTTAATTAAATATCCTTAAAATACTTATTGATGATACATTTAGATATTTAGTTATCATCTGGGAATCTGGGCATGGGCTTGCTGATGGGGAAGGATATTAGAGCATCTCTAATAGAGTTGCTTATAAACAATTTTCTGTGCTATATCACTGCCAAATCAGCTCTGGTCCACTTTATGGGTTGCTTAAATTTTAGCAGAATTGTTTCTACAAGCAATTCTGCTAAAATTTAAGAAACCCATAAAGTAGGTTAGAGCTAATGTGATAGTGATGTAGTACAGGAAATTACTTATAAGCAACCCCAATTGTAGATGCTCTTAGTTGTATAGACAAGGGTTGCGTTGGAAAGCATCATCTCCTTGAACGGATTCCGATCTTCTTCAGATGAAATTAATTTTAAAATATTATTTTTTTTATGTAATAAAATAAATTCAACAGATGGAATATTTTACAGTTCCACTAATAACTATATATAGGATAGGAACCCACAATGATAAAAAAAATAATAATAATAAAAAGGATAGGAACCCCACGATCCATGAGTTTTTCAAGCTTGTTTCCGGTCAATATTACTGCGTGTGCTAAAATTTCATGCTTCATTATGCCTTTCTCTAAAATGTGGATATGATAAAATTATACAATATATTTTTGTGAATTTGTTCTTATTTAAAAATTGATCAATTATTCAATTTTTATTCCCCAAATAAATTTTATAATATTGAAAGTAGTACTGAAAGTCATTTAAAAGATTTACTTTCTTCAACGCATATGTTTCCATACACACGAACTAAGATTGAAGTCTAAACTATATACTTAAGATTTAAGAAATAAGATTATTTGTGAGTTGGTTGGTCCGGTTCCTCTTGAACTCTGTAAATTGCAGATTGCATACTTATCCTTACTTCATTTGAAATTGCATTTGGTGATATGGGTGAATACAAGATTGAGTACCACCAAAATAGAAAAAGATAGGGAAGTATGGAGTGTGTCTCAGAAGCTACGAAATCGTAATGTTAAATCAAAATGAAATGTTGAGATTAGATTCCATGTCCAACGCATGCTGCTAAATGGACTTTGGCACTTACCTAGTGGATTATCCAAACGCTGTTGTTGTGACTACTTAACAAATGCTTAATTTCAATCAGTAATAATAGTGATGTCAACTCAATAAATACATCTTGTATTGGCTACTCACAACTTGTTCTAAGTAATATCTGCGATTCAACCAATACATGCATCAAGTGGAACACTAATAGTAGAAAAAATTGGATCTGCATCTGAGTATAGAAAGCACCATTACATAAAGCCTCTGTGTCAAAAAGTCCTACCATATATTCAATTGTCCAAGTCTTCCACTTATAATAAAGAATTTAAACTAGCTTTAAGAACATCACCGAATAATAAATCGGAAGCTACAAGTACAGAAATAAAGTTCCACTAAAGTTACTTATTCTCTCAACTAAGTAATATTGTATCCATTTCAAATTATTTCGTATTTGTTAATTGTTTAGACCGGTGGTAAGTTAAACTCATCATCATCACTAAGTTAAGATAGATACATGATAAGTTAAGTTCCATAATAATTCTCACCATAATTTTTTGAAATAACATATATTTATTTTGTGTTAAACTCACCATGATTTTCTACTATCAAACCATTTGGAAAAAAGTTGCATCTAATGTAACCTAAATTTAGTTGAATTCAACGCTGGAGTTCCTTGTTCTTTGAGTGTCTCAAAAAGTGCAAATTGGTGTTTGGAGGCTTTGAAACGGCAATCTAAACCCATTCTAAGTTAAGAAAATAAGAATATATATATTAAATTAAATTAAGAATAGTTTATTTATTTTATGTTAAAGTGAAGCAAGTGTAAAGTATAATTGACTTAAGAATTTGTTTGACCTCTTGACCTAGTCTTGCATGATAAAGTAGAGAATATTTCTTAACCCTAAAGGCTAGAGCACTCGTTTCTGTGCCCGTGCACATAAACGTGTCAGGGATGCTTTGACATTCCAAACACTGAAAAGGATATTTCATCTAATTCCTGTCACACAAACAAGAATATCGAGAGAAAACAGAAACAGAATGGACATTTCTCAAATTCAAGCTGTCTAGTGTCTACAAATCACGACAAATAAATGGGTCCATGAGTGGATAAATAAAGCACCAATATCTGAATGAGGTGGAGGCAAAGCCAATGACCAAAGCTTATAAAATCAAATTAATCTAATGTGTGATTAGAGCAAGAAAATTAGAAAAGTAGCTTCACCAAGGGATTTTCATTCTTTTTGCGCCTCAGTTTACCAATCACTTGAAATTCTACTCGACCAAAAAGCCTTATCAAGAGGGCAAAACAAAGTAAAGGGTTATGCAATGTCAAATCAACCAAATATCATTCTGGCCCTTTGTTTTATTATTAAAGTAAAAATCAAAATCAGTGTCACCACTGAAACTTGAAATTCTTAAGTGAACTTAGTTTCAATTCACCTCTCTAATGCATTGAGAATTATTTAAATCTACGTTTCAAATGTATTCAACTTTTTTCCTTTCGCACCAATGTTTTATAAAATTTACTCTTAAACTAATTTCACTGGATTCAAAAATAAATAAAGCCTGATAAAAACTTGACTCGGTCAAGTGCTCAACTTAATAGCCTAAAATCATTTTTATCAATGCACTGATATTTTGGGAATAACATAGAGGCACTCACTCCCGTTAACAAAACTATCAAGAATCACTGTCTCACACACATAACTCATCCTACTACTAGTCAAAAAGTAAAAATAAATACACAAATTTATTAAGAAGGAAGTAAATAACGTTTGCTTCTTTCTCAAAGAAAAAAAAAAAAAAAAAAAAAGGTTTTTTCCTAACGTTTGATTTCCTAACGTTTGATTCTTTGTGTATAAATTAGTGTTAATTATATTTACTGAATTAAGTGAAACATAAAACGCAACACCCCTAACGGTGAAATTAGACAATCAAACAGCCAGCAGTAATAAATAGTAATAAATAAATAAAAACTGGTAAAGGTTAAAAATAGGGAAGGGATTTGCAAAAGTCAAATCAATGAAAATATCATTCCAGCCGTTAGTTTTATTAATAAAACACAAATTCCATCCGTTGAAACACAAAATTAGTAATTGAAATTGAAATGAACCTAAATTCACCTCTGAAATGTATCTAAATTAATTAAACTCCAGGTTCCCAATGTATCAACAGAGCGTAACTGGAGGGACAGTAGGGTATGGTATTCTCTCCTTAATGAAGAGGAATCGTGGTACGCTAAGGCGTGTCCATTGTGAAACACAAACCAATTTTATAAAGAAGGAAACAAACGTTTTAGTTGAAAATGAATGTGAAAGAGAAAAGCAAAAACCCCTATGAAGGAATCAGGATTAGAATTACACAATAAGGAATTTTCCCCATTTCATTACCCTCACATAAACCTAAATTATAAAAAAAAAAAAAAAAAAAAAAAACC